GGATTTTTTCATTTATCATATTGAAGGTTTTTAATACTACTTCAATTCCATCTGTAGGCATTGCAGTGATGATATCATCTACATATACTTTTAAGAATGGAACTGCAAAGGGTAAGTTACTTTCAATTTTTCTTAACACGTGATTCATTACCAAAATCGCTAATATTGGGCTTGCTGGATTGCCCATACTAGAACCATCAAGTTGTTGGTAAAAAGATCCATCGAATTGGAAGTAGCTTAAATCAAAACAAAATTGTATTATTTCTAATAAGATGTTTTTTGGTATCGTTATGACGTTTTTGAGTTCATTCCAATCTTTATTTATCGTTTTTATTACCAGTTTTTTCGGGATGTTCGTGAACAATGAGATTGCATCTAACGATTCTAATCTATAATCTTCTAGTAGTGTTATTCTTTGTACGAATTCTACAAACTCAAAAGAATTCTTAACCGAAAACACAAATTTGTTTGTCATAGCTGAGGATAATTTATGATGTAAAAATTGTGCTAATTTATAGCACGTTGAACGAATGCAGCTTACAACTGGTCTTAAGGCTAGGTTCTTTTCTATCTCTTCCGTGATAATCGATTCTTTTCTAAGTTTTATTATCAAATTATTATCTAATTTCTCGAATCTACTGGTAGGATCTTTATTCAATAACTGATATATGTATTTATTTTGTAACGTTTTATGCATTTCATTTAAATATTCTTCTTTCTTCATAATAACTGTGTTATTCCATTTGTCCGGTCTCATTAAAATTAAATTCGGATTGTCTTTTAGGAAACGTTTTGTTGTTACAAAGTTTTTTGTTACTTYATCCTTCCATGGTCTTTGGTTATTTTTATAATAATTCGAAAAATATATTAACAGCCTTAACTCTTACATTGTTTTGCTCATCCTTTATACTCGTATTATCACTTTTCGTGCTATTAATATGTCTTATGCCTTCCTCTAAGTCTTTTATTAACGAACAAACTGGAACTTTATTCGGTCTTAACGGGATACCGTGCCCTGGTTCTAGACTTAATGTTTTTTCCACTTCGCGTGGTAGCTGAACATCCGTAAAATTATAAATACAATTACTTTGTCTATTTATTTTGTTGTTGTTATGAGAAATATCATTTAATAAATTCTTTAATTTTTTGATATTATTCTTTTTAGTAATCTTAAATTTGTTTTCATAATTTTTCTTAATACAATGTAAACATAAACAAGTATATCCTAAAAATATTATAAACAACTTAAAATGTATGTACGCTATTCAAGCTGAAACACACCCTTACAATAAAGAGACAGATAAATTAATTACGTCTCTAAAACATAAGATCCTTAAATTAGAAATAAAAATTACAGCTTGGAAAGTTAAGACAATCGAAAAGAGCATCAACAAATATAGAATGTTTTAAAGAATAAAATATCAGCGACAGATATTAATAATTGCACAACATCTTTCAAAAAAAAAAAAACATCGTTTATTTAAAAAATTTTTTTTGTCACTTTACCTGTAGAATTCAATTCTCTCTCGACGAAACACGATTGTAGGCAACTTGACATCCATTATTTTTAGTTACTAATAGCATATTTATACCGTTACTAAAAAATGTTAAATATATTTAAAGGAAATTTTTGCTGTTTTTAGGATGGAAAAATAGTTAAAAACAATAAAATATCTAAAAAAGTGCTATTTAACAGAAGCTATGAAACGTATTCTTTTAAGGTTTAAAGCGTATAATTACAAATAAATAGTTTTAAGTCCGAAAATTTTTATCAAAAATCATTAATATTTTGACCACAAAAGTCAAAAAAAGAAAAAAAATCAATTTATAGCAACTTTTTTTGGTTACTTTACGTGTAGAATTAAATTCTTATTCGACAAAATTCGATTGTATTCAACCTTACATCCATTCTGTTTAGAATCTAACAGAACATTTTTACCATTGCTAAAAAATTTTTAATATATTAAGGAAAAATTTTCTCTGCTTTCTGGATTAAATAATAGCTAAAAACTATCAAATTTCTACAGAAGTGCTATTTAACAGAAGCTATAAGACGTTTTTTTTAGGCTTTAAAGCGTATACTTACAAATAAAAAGTGCTAAGTTCGAAACAATTTTAGCAAACCTTATTTATATTTTGACCACTGCAGTTACAAGAAACGAAAAAATCATTTTATTACAAAATTTTGTATTTACTCTACGTGTAGAATTTAACTCTTGTTCAAGGAAACTCGTTTTTAAAAAACCTGACATCAATTCTGTTTAGTTTCTAATAGCACATTTTTACCGTTGAATAAAATTTTCAATATATCTAAGAGTAATTTTTGCTGCTTTCTGGATAAAATAAAAGTTGAAAACTATCAGATTTCTAAAGAAGTGCTATATAACAAAATCTATAAAACGTTTTCTTTAAAGTTGTAAAGCGTATACTATCAAATAAAAAGTGGTAATTCTGATAAAATCTAGCTAGTACCATTAATATTTCAACAACAATAGTCCTAAAAAAGAAAAAAAATCATTTTATCACTAATTTTTTTAGTTAGTTTACATGTAGAATTTATTTCTTTTTTGCCGAAATTCGGTTGTAGACAACCTGCCATCCATTTTGTTAAGTTTCAAATAGCACACTTTTACAGTCGCTACAAATTTTTTTATTTATTTAAAAAAAATTTTCGCTACTTTCTTAATTAAATCTTAGGTAAAAACTATAAAATTTCTAAAAAAAGTGCTATATAAAAAAAGCTATAAAACGTTTTCTTTCAAGTTTTAAAGCGTATACTAAAAAAAAAACGTTAAGACCGAAAAGTTTTAGCAAACATCATTTATATTTCGTCTACTGCAGCAAAAATAAGATAAAAAATCAGTGTAATAGAACTTTTTATGTTCACTTTACGTGTAGAATTCAATTTTTGGTCGACAAAACATGTTTGTAACTAACCTGACATCCATTCTGTTTAGTATCTAAAAGCACATTTTTACTGTCGCTAAAAATTTTTCAATATTTTTAAGAGAAATTTTCGCTGTGATATAGATTGAGGAATATTTGAAAACTTTCAGATTTTTAAATAAGTGCTAAATAACAATAGCTATAAAACGTTTTCTTTCAAGATTTAAAGCGTATACTTACAAATAAAAAGTGGTAAGTCCAAATAATTTTAGCAAACATTATTTATATTCCGACCACTGCAGTCAAAAAAAGAGAAAAAATCATTTTATTACAACTTCTTTTTGTTACTCTACGTGTTGTATTCAATTCTTTTTCAACGAAACTCGATTGTAGTCATCTTGACATACATTCTGTTGAGAATTAAATAGCCCTTTTTTACCGTCTTAAAAAATATTTCAATATATTTGGGAGAAATTTTCGCTGACATCTAAATAAAATAATAATTGAAAACTTTTAGATTTTTAAGGATATTTTTTATAACAAAAGCTATAAAACGTTTTCTTTCAAGCTTTAAAGAGTATACTCAAAAACAAAAAGTGTTAAGTTTAAAAAATTTTGCAAACATAATTTATATTTCGAACACTGCAGTCAGAAAAAAAGAAAATATTATTTAATTACAACTTTTTTTATTTACTTTACGCGTAGAATTTAATACTTTTTCGACGAAACTCGATTCTAGTCAACCTGACATTCATACTGTTTAGTTTTTAATAGCACATTTTTAACGTCCCTTAAAGTTTTTCAATATAATAAAAAGAAATTTTGGCTACTTTCTAGAATAAATTGTAGGTAAAAACTATAAAATTTCTAAAAAAGTGCTGTGTAACTAAAGCTAGAAAACGTTTTCTTTCAAGCTTTAAAGCGTATACTTACAAATAAAAGAGTAAGGTCCAAAAAATTTGGCAAACATCATTTATATTTGGACTACTGCAGTCAAAAAAAAGGGAAAAAATCATTTTATTACGACTTATTTTGGTTACTTTACGTGTAGAATTCAATTCTCTTTCTACGAAATTTGATTCTAGTCAACCTGACATCCATTCTGTCTTGTTTCTTATAGCACATTTCACCGTCGCTGAAAATTTTTCAATATATTTAGGAAAATTTTCGCTACCTTGTTAAATAAATCGTAGTTAAAAACTGTAAAATTTCTTTAATAGTGCCATTTATCAGAGGCTATGTAACGTTTTGTTTTAGGTTTTTAAGCGTATACTTACAAATAAAAAGTGTAAAGTCCGAAAAATTTGGCAAACATCATTTATATTTGGACTACTGCATTCAAAAAAAAAAGAAAAAATCATTTTATTCCGACTTATTTTGGTTACTTTACGTGTAGAATTCAATCCTCTTTCGACGAGACTCGATAGTAGTCAACCTGAAATACATTCTGTCTAGTTTCTAATAGCACATTTTACCGTCGCTAGAAACTTTTTAATATACTTGAAAAGAAATTTTCGCTACTTTGTGAATTAAATCGTAGTTAATAACAATCAAATTTCTATAAAAGTGCTATTTAACATAAGCTATGAAACGTTTTCTTTCAAGCTTTAAATCATATATTTACAAATAAAAAGTGTTTAGTCCGAAAATACTTGGAAAACATCATTTATATTTATACTACTTCAATCAAAAAAAAGCGAAAAATTCTTTTTATAAAGCCTTTTTTTGGTTACTTTACGTGAAGAATTCAATTCTTTTTCAAAGAAACTCGATTTTAATAAACCTGACGTCCATTCTATTTAGTTTCTAGTAGCCCATTTTTATTGTCGCTAAAAATTTTTTAATATAATTAAAAAGAAATTTTCGCTACTTTCTGGATTATATCGTAGTTAAAAACTATAAAATTTTTAAAAAAGTGCTATGTAACTAAAGCTATGAAACGTTTTCTTTCAAGTTTTAAAGCATATACTAACAAATAAAAATTGTTATGTACAATAAAATCTAGCAAATATCATTTATATTTCAACAACTCTAACCCAAAAAAAGAAAAAAAATAATTTTAGTACAACATTTTTTGGTTACTTTACGTGAAGAATTTAATTCTTTTTCAACGAAACTCGATTGTAGTGAGCCTGACATCAATTCTGTTTAGTTTCTAATAGCACATTTTAACCGTCGCTAGAAATTTTTATATATGTATAAAAGAAATTTTCACTCCTTTGTGAATTAAATCGTAGTTAAAAATTATAAAATTTCTAAAAAAGTGCTATTTTACTGAAGCTATGAAACGTTTTCTTTCAAGTTTTAAAGCGTATACTAACAAATAAAAATTGTTATGTCCAATAAAATCTAGCAAATATCATTTATATTTAAACAAATGCTGTCCAAAAAAAGAGAAAAAAATATTTTATTACAACTTTTTTTGGTTGCTTCACGAGTAGAATTTAATTTTTTTTCGACAAAATTCGAATCTAGTCAACATAAAATCTATTCTGTTTAGTTTCTAATAGCACATTTCTACCGTCGCTAAAAATTTTTTAATATATTTAAAAGAAATTTTCGCTACTTTGTGAATTAAATCGTAGTTTAAAACTATCAAATTTTAATATATTTCCTATTTAACAGAAGATATGAAACGTTTTTTTTTGAAGTTTTAAAGCGTATACTAACACATAAAAATTGTTATGTCCAATAAAATCTATCAAATATCATTTAAATTTCAACAACTGCAGTCCAACAAAAGAGAAAAAATGATTTTGTTAAAAATTTTTTTTGTTACTTCACGTGTAGAATTCAATTCTTTTTCGACAAATTTCGATTGTAGTCAACCTAACATCTATTCTGTTTAGTTTCTAATTGCACATTTTTACCTTTGCCAAACATTTTTTAATATATTTAAAAGAAATTTTTGCTACTTTGTAAATTAAATCGTACTTAAAAACTATAAAATTTCTATAAAAGTGCTATTTAACAAAAGCTATAAGACGTTATTTTTTAAGTTTTAAAGTGTATACTAACAAATAAAAAGTGTTAAGTATACTAAAATTTAGCAAATAAAATTTATATTTTAACAACTGCAGTCCAAATAAAGGAAACAAATCATTTTACTACAACTTTTTTTGGTTACTTCACGTTAAGAATTCAAATCTTTTTCAACGAAACTCGATTCTAGTAAACCTGACATCCATTTTGTATTGTTTCCAGTAGCAAACTTTTACCGTCGCTAAAAATTTTTTAAAATATTTAAAAAGAAAATTTTACTACTTTCTAGATTCAATCGTTGTTAAAAATTATCAAATATCTAAAGAAGTGCTATATAACAAAAGATATAAAACGTTATCTTTCGAATTTTAAAGCGTATACTAACAAATACAAAGTGTTAGGTGCAATAAAATCTAGCAAATAACATTTATATTTTAAACACTGCAGTCAAAAAAAAGAGAAAAAATCAATTTATTACGACATTTTTAGGTTACTTTACATGTAGAGTTTAATTTTCTTTCGACGAAACTCGATTGTAGTAATCCTGACATCCATTCTGTATTGTTTCTAGTAGCACATTTTTACCGTTGCTAAAAATTTTTTAATATACCTAAAAAAGAATTTTCGCTACTTTGTGAATAATATCGTAGTTAAAAACTATGAAATTTATATAAAAGTGATATTTATCAGAAGTTATGAAACGTTTTTTTTAATGCTTTAAAGCGTATACTTACAAATCAAAAGTGTAACGTCCGAAACAATTTGGCAAACATCATTTATATTTCAGAAACTGCAGTCCAAAAAAAAAAAAAAAACATATTATTGCAACTATTTTTGGTTACTTTTCGAGACAAATTTAGTTCTTTTTCAACGAAACTCGATAAAAGTGAACCTGACATTCATTCTGTTTTGTTTCTAGTAGCACATTTTTACCGTAACTAAAAATTTTTTAATATATTTAAAATAAAATTTTCGCTACTTTCTGGATTAAATCGTTAAAAACTATAAAATTTCTAATAAAGTGCTATATACCAAAAGCTATACAACGTTTTCTTTGAAGTTTTAAAGCGTATAGCATCAAATAAAAAGTGTTATGTTCAATAAAATCTAGCAAATACCATTTATATTTCAACAACTCTAACCCAAAAAAAGAGAAGAAATCATTTTATTACAAATTTTTTTGGTAATTTACGTGAAGAATTCAATCGTTTTTCAACAAAACTTGATAGTAGTAAACCTGACATCCATTCTGTATTGTTTCTAGTAGCACATTTTTACTGTCGCTAAAAATTTTTTTAAATATTTAAAAAGAAATTTTTGCTTCTTTCTGGATGAAATCGTTCTTAAAAACTATAAAATTTTTAAAAAAGTGCTATAAAACAAAAGCTATAAAACGTTTTCTTTCAAGTCCTAAAGCGTATACTAACAAATAAAAAGTGTTATGTTCAATAAAATCTAGCAAATATCGTTTACATTTCAACCACTGCAGTCCAAGAAAAAAGTAAAAATCATTTTATTACAACTTTTTTTGGTTACTTTACATGTAGAATTCACTTGTTTTTCGACTTAATTCGATTGTAGTCAACAAAACATCTATTCTGTTTAGTTTCTAATAGCACATTGTACCGTCGCTAAAAATATTTCAATATATTTAAAAGAAATTTTCGCTACTTTCTGGATTAAATCGTAATTAAAAACTATAAAATTTCAAAAAAAGTGCTATATAACGAAAGCTATATATCGTTTTCTTTCAAGTTTTAAAGCGTATACTAGCAAATAAAAAGTGTTAGGTCCAATAAAATCTAGCAAATTACATTTATATTTCAACAACTGCAGTCCATAAAAAGGGAAAAAGTCATTTTATTACAACTTTTTTTTGGTTACTTCACGTGTAGTATTCAATTCTTTTTCAACAAAATTATAATTATAACAATAAATTAATAAAAATAATATATAAGTTATATGTTATGTATATATATAAAATTAATTTTTGTTTTAGGGTCATTAATATTGGTAAGATTCTTTTCAACTGTTTGCAGTTTGTGTTCCGATAGTAGTTAAAATGTATGAGTAATATTATATCTTAAAATACACCAAGTTGTGTTTGTGTAATCAACAATCTATTAGGCATAAGATTTCCGAGAATGCACTGCGAAACAGTGCACACCTTTGTAATTTATTTGAAAATCTTGCGTTAAAATTTCCTATATTTAAGGTAAAAAGATATGAATGACCTACATATTAAATAAAATTAAACTCTTATTCCTACGGAAAGAATACTATATCTAGTAATAAATCAATCTTCAAAGGTTCACAAAATATCCAAAAACAGTAATGTCGTTTCTTGTTTAAGTAACTTTCCAATCGGACATACTTCACACAGGACCAGAAAGAAATTTATTTTAATAAGTAGTTTGCGAAAAAAATTTTAAAACTTATAGCTGTTCAATCTTAATGATTTTTATATTAAATTAGGGTACACACTTCGCCCTATACGAACAGTACCTTTTCAAGCTGAAAGTCTCGCGTTTTAAATACTTAAAATCCCAGAAAATGAAATGCAGCAAAGTACATATATATTACACTTAGCTTTCGTATCTTTGGAACGTTCTCGTCAATATTTTTTATACTTACAGTAGTTAAATTTTAATAAAATATATTTTAAATGATAGTACACTCTTTGCCCTACACGTACAATACATTTTTAGAATAGTAGTCTTGCGTTTTAATTACTTAAAATCATATAAAATGAAATGCTGCATAGGATTAATCTTTCACACATAGCTTTCGTATCTTTGGAACGTTCTCGTCAATATTTTTTATACTTACAGTGGTCAAATTTTAATAAACTTTCTTTTGAATTAAAGTACACTCTTTGCCCTACACGATTAATACTTTTTATAGCTGGAATTTACGCAAGAAGGTAGCTTGTGAGCTTCTACATTCATCTGTATTTGTTGACACAGATATAACTGTTAAATATACATCAATAAAATAAATATCCATTGGTAAGTAAAAAAGAATTCTGTTTTATCGATTGTCAAAGAAGCAGTTTTCTTGTCTATATTCTTATTTCTTTATCATTGCTATGTTTACTATTTTCAAGTAAGATGAAAGTTTGAACTTTTTGTATTGTTCATCTGTATATATACTGTAATTATTCTATAATCGTATATATCTAAATATGCCATCGAGAGGTGAAGATATACTCAAAGGTTTTCAAGTGTATCCTTTTATCAAAGTATATTTATAATCTGCTCTTATACATTCGACAAACTATACGATTATGCATAGGTTAAGGTCAACTGTCAAAAAAAAATTGTTTTTATAGTGTAATACTTATCTTTTTATTATGTTATTTTTCCTAATCACTGAATTAATTATAGTAATTGGATGAATTTAAGGGATGCCGATAGTGGAAAGATGTTGTGGCAAGGCAATGAAGATTTGTAAGCATTTGAAATTTTCATAACCTATGAATGTACATTTCATTTAATACTATTGTATTAAAAAAGATGATCATTTAATTAATTGCATTATCTATTTGTAGATCTATTCCTGACGTTGAACATGAAGCACGAGTACCAAAAAAGATTTTAAAATGTCGTGCAGTATCTAGAGAAATTAATTTCAGTTCTGCAGAACCAATGGAAAGGTTTAGATTAGAACAAAAAGTACTCTTCAAGGGCCGTTGTTTGGAGGAATGGTTTTTTGAATTTGGTTTTGTTATTCCAAATAGTACAAATACATGGCAGAGTTTGATTCAAGCGGCTCCAGAAAGTCAAATGATGCCAGCTAATGTATTAAAGTAAGTTGTAATTTCTATAATAAAAAAGAAGAATATTACATTTCATTAACACATATTCTTTTATAAACAGTGGCAATGTGGTAATAGAAACAAAATTTTTCGACGATGACTTATTAGTATCAACTAGTCGTGTTCGACTGTTCTATGTATAAGATGCTTGATATTTGGTCCATATTGGGATCTGGGACCAATCGTATTAACAATTTCATCACACTTTTGCAATATGATACAGGGTTCTTACTCTCTACAATTCTATCTTCAGATGCACCTCCAAAGATGAAAATGAATCATAAAAAATTTATTCACAATTTTATATCTAATTCTGCAATGCTATGTGCACCATTTTATTTGTTACGTGCATCATGGTACATTTTCTCTTGAAAATAAGTTTTACTATATAAGAAAAAATTTTGATAATTAAATTACTTAATGATATTCTATTATAATTCTAATATATACTAAGCACAGACACTGAAGTTTCACTCTTAAAGTATTATTATATTACAAACTTTGTGTATATATTGGAATACACTAAAAGAAAGACGAATAAATGTCGTAAGTAATAAAAATGAAAACTTAAATCATATACATTATGTTAATTCACCTAAAATGAAGAAACGTTTGTTTAATCGAAAAGAAAATTTAAAACGGAAATTGCGAAGCTATTGTAGGTACTTTCGTGAACATTTATGTTATTACACAAAGAAGCGACGTTATATCGAATGTGATAAATTGTTAAGTTTTGAATGTAAAATCAAACGACGAGCTTGATAGAAATCAGATATACTTTTTTGTACTGTACACCCGTACTATTGATTCGTGGTGTACAAGCAATACATTTTTGGGGCTTCACTACCCCTCTTGAGGGAGTTCACGTTGAATATACTCCGCGTCCCCTACTCTTTCTCTCTTTATCTTTCTACTACCACGCACAGGTGTAAGAAAAAAGAAGGAAAAGAGAGGAAAGAAACGGCAGAGTTGCAGAGCTGCTTGCCTATCCAAACGAACGTTTTCAACCAACGTAGTGATTCGATTATCATTTGCGAATCTTCTGGCAGCCTGTTACTCAATTGATCTTTTAAAAAAATCAAGAATCAAATAAGAAAGAAACGTGCAAAAAGAGGAAGTAAAGTGAACATTATTTTGATAAAGAATGGATTTAAAAGAAGAGGACGAAAGCGGTAACGAGGGCAGTAGACAATTATTTTTGGTTGGTGCACCCCGCGACCCTTTGGTATCCACCGGTGCGATCGTCGCCTCCGGAGGAGCTAACGACGAGATCAATTCTGGAGGAGATCTACAGTCAACTGCTCTGGCCGGTCTGATGAGCACACAATCTTCCTCCGTTTGCTTTCCTACAAAATTCAGTAAGTGTACCCTGCTACCCCGGATTTGATTTAATTAACTGCTTCTCTCTCTCTCTCTCTCTCTCTCTCTCTCTCTCTAACACTCTCTACATGTCGGCCTGCTAGTTGGGGTAGAGAGGACTCAATTAAATTATTGCTAAATGCATTAAGCAGATAGGCAGCCCTTTTTTTAAATAGAATTAGTGGTAATCAGTTTAACTGTTATGAACCGTTTCACTCGGTGATGAATGCAACGAGATTAAGTACCGCCGCAGGCACCACTGCCGATTACGCCCACACTACAATTCATCTCTAATAATCTTTCTCAAATCTTTAGATTATACGATTTTGCGTTTTATCAAAGCCTGACTTTAGTGCAAAAGTTTGTGAATTAGATTTGTTACATTTGTGTACACAGCATACGATTTTTCGCCAAGTTCTGGGAACGAAGATAGACAATCGTCCGGAGGAACTGGCAAAAGAAAGCAAAGAAGATATCGTACCACTTTTACGAATTTTCAATTAGAAGAATTAGAAAGAGCGTTTCAAAAGACACATTATCCTGATGTTTTCTTCAGAGAGGAACTTGCTCTAAGGATAAAATTAACTGAGGCTAGGGTTCAGGTAGTGTATCTTCCAAACATCTTGTAAATCATATCGTATAAGTGCTTTTCTGGAAAAACGTAAAATATATCAATTATCTATCCATTATATTCTTATTATATATCATTTAAAAATATTTCTTTTACGTGTAGGTATGGTTTCAAAATAGACGAGCTAAATGGCGAAAACAGGAAAAGCAGTGCAAAGTTACAACTCACCTAACATCTTATCTTCCCTCGTCGGATTGTCAAGAAGTACAACAGCAACAACAATCCGATCATTTATTACTGGAACCACCGCTAGGCAGTCCACCACCTATTTACCTTGGAATGGAGTGGGCTGGCTTTTCACCTTATAGCAACACAGCCACAGCTTCTCCTCTTGTAGTTAATGGTATGAATAAGCCACCGGAACAAGAAACGGATGATAATCCATTACTAGATCCTGAGCTTTTACAATTGAAAACATCGCGTTCTTAATGATACAAACTACTGGCAAGTAAGAAAAAAAAAAAAAGAAGAAAAAAAAATCTCGTAGTTTCCTAATTCGAAAACACCAATCTACATAACGCTCTTCGATTAAAATAATTAATAAAATAATCTTATATAAGTGCAGCAATACAATTAATCAAAGAAAAATGTATTGTATTTTGTGCAATATATTATTAAGATGGAATTAAGTGGTCCAAAAAAGGTACCTCGAATGTGTCTCAAAAGTAACTAGAGACTGACAAGAGTTATCCAGATAATAGATAAAGAAACAATGTATTTTGAGTACTGTTATATAGATTTTGTAAGAAAAGGCTTATAATTAAAATTTTTTCTTTTTGAAGAAAATGCAATAAAAGATATTAATAGCCATTATAAATTTGGGAAGAACAATAAAATGAAGTTAATGATAATTAATAAAGTTACCGATGTGATGCTACATTTGCTAATTCTCAATATAAGTAATTCTTAACTCTGACTTAAAATAACATCCTCTTTATTCGATGTGCATATATTACAAGTCAAGGAATCGACTAAAATATTAATCGCTCAATTTAGGAGGTCATAAGCGATTCAAGATGCTCCCTTTGATTTTCGAAATAACATCATATCTATCTATCGAAATGATAGATCATAAAGCATAGTAATAGATTATATCTCTGTTTGAGATTCTATATTGAAAAAGAATATATTATGAATGAAATAAATTCTTCCAAATTTTCAAATTTGTATTGACGTTAGAATGATAAACCATAGGAAAAAGGGAACATCCCGGGGAAATATATTAGTGATGCCTTTCGCGATAAGGTTACGCAACATAGGAGTACTCATCGGCACTGTTTGGAGTACGTTCGATGTATTGCTTGTCTATCAACGCTTCGATGCACTTTTTGATCATGCCGATGGAGGGCGCAAAAGTAACTTTAGACTGACCAAGTACCTGTAATCAAATTTTCCTTTTAATAATTGTTCTTTATAATTATTAAATAAGAATTATATATTATTCTTGGCAAATCTCTTACCTCTTGTAAAAGTTGATTATGTCTCAAAAGTTTTCGACTTTTCATTATACGAACTATAGCTGCTTGCAGGTACAATTTTCTATCATCGTCAACACTACGATGCGTTGCCTCAGCATCATGAGGTGCATCGCGTTGCAAAGCCGCAGTAACGCGGAACTTGGTTCTTTTATTGTGATAATCGAAATTAAGTGAAAGAATCGTGTCTTCTTCCAAATCGCCCTCAGTTGATTTCTTCAAAATTTTACAATCAACAAGACTCACGGCGTGTTTTACTAATTGATCATGGGATAAATGTAACGAAGCCGCCGCTTCTTTACACTGTATAGCATCGCACTGTTCGAAAAGAAGTAGCAAAGCCATCTGATACGTTTGCACTGTCACTAAATATGGTTTCTTCAAATAATTAAATTTTAATTCTCCTTGGCACAAGTGATGTAACCAGGTCAATTTTCGACCGCTAAATTGCGCGTGATAAAAAGATTCAAAGGCCTGTACAGATTTTTCTAATTGTTGTGGAACGTGAAAAGGCCCAGGCGAAGTTGGCAAACCTAAAGGCCACGCTCCAGCTTGTAATACGTATACCACAAATCCAATGCCTAACTGATTATCCGCATCTCTTTCTCGGAGACTGGCTGTAAATTTTGCATTTAAATCTGTTGATACTGACATGTCGGTAAACATCCGATGTAATTTATTCGTAAATTCATATCCGCAAGCTTGTTTTAAACGATCTATCATGGCCTCTTCCGCGTCCATTGATTGAGATTGTTGGTGTATCAATCTCCTAGCCAACATACGAGCGTAAAACTTTTGAAAGACATCTTTGTCATCGACGTACTTGAATACAGTTATGGATCGTCCCAATTTTTCCTCGATTTCGCCTTCCGATGCAACTTTAGCAGACTTTTTTAGAAGTGAGTCACAGTATTTGGCAAGCTGCGTGTTAATCGTTAATTTAACTTTATCAAACAGTTCTAAATCTTATTTCCTTTGAATGAAAGAAGAAAATAATGATTACGTACGAGTTCGGGTGCTCGAGCTGGTTGGCGTGGAACTGGTCTATGATTGACGACAGCCGAACACGCTTTATCAAGAGCATTTATAAAAGCTTGATCTCCTTTGAATACTTCTCCAATTAATAAGGAATATTTAGTATGTACGTCCAGTATGCTTTCTACAAATTGAGTGTATACCTAAAATAAGGAAAATTTTTACATCGAATTTCTTCCATACCTGCTTTAATAACATTTTTCACAAACCAATGAATATATTAATATTTAACTAAAATCTTCTTAATCTTACATTTTCACCTTGTAACGGACCAATCGCTTGTAATCCCTGCTGCGTGATATGTTGAGTAAATTTTTGTACGAGTGGAGCTAATCCGGATGGTAATGGCCTTAATAAAGCATAAAGTAATTTTAAGTCCCATTTGCGTTCGTTTTGTATCATTGCTTCTGCTTCCGCGTGTAGCCAAGAAAGATGCGCAGTAACCATTTTTTCTTCACAACATTGACTTACCTATAGAAATTACCATTTGATCATTTCTGGCATTTATAATTTATTCATTCGTTTCTATTATTAATTAAGGAAAAAAATAAAAGAAAGAAACGTACTTTGGGCATTGAACTACTGTGAAGAAACTTGTAAGTGCGAAGTTCTTCTAGATTAAGTCGCCAGGAAACTCTTTCCATGTAACGAGTAACGTCAGCTTGTTGCAACAATTCGGACGCTTCCCTCGCATAAAATTCTCCGGTAGTTTCCAAAAATGGTTTTTCAAATATTTCTTGATACATCTAATTAATATCATCATTATATAAAGTTTCAGTTATTTAACGATAAAAGTATAGCTTATATTTTATAATATAAAATATATTCTTACATCTAATTGTCCTTTCACTTTATATTCTTCTACCCGCACAAAACTCTGTATCACTCCACAAATCACATCGGTTGTAGCAGGCGGTGCCTCCCCTATCCTGTCTGCATTAATACTTTCTAGGACAAGAGCGACAAGAGACCTTCTAAGCGGCGCTATCATTTTTTTCTTCCAGATATCTAAGCCCAATTCACCGATTTCCATCTGCTCTTGACAATCGGCTGACATAGCAGAAGAACATCCATAAAAAAGCTCTGCTTCGGATAATTTCTGCTTTTTAATGTGTTGTTGATTTAAATATAAATACAGACAATGTAGATAGTTTATGCCTTGCGAATATTCTGTCCAGGCTCGATGGTAAGCCTGAAGCAAACCAGTTTCACCTTGAGCGCGAACTTTTGTTAATAATTGAGAAACATGATTATCCAAAAACCTTTTTGTTTCATTGTATAATCTATCTGCCAATGGTTCTGGATATGCAACGCACAAGGAATATACATCGCTGCAATCAAATTTCTTCCATCAAATTCATTTATTTAGAAATATTAATAATTTATAATTATTTAGACTTACCTGAATCTGTCGTTCCATGTAGCACGTGGGACGTTAGCCAAGGTTATTACTCCTTTAACAGTTTCTTGCAAAACGTCCCAGGTTCTTGTGAAATCTACTCGCTTGGGTTTTAGTGACATCCTTTTTCTTGATCCACGGTCAACAAGTACCCCAATTGGAATATTAATTAATCAGTAACTACCTATATAAACTTTGTTTTAGGTTTAATTCCTAATATCACAATCCTGAAATATGAGAACAATATAAGTTATTTGTTTACTATGATTCTCGGATCGTTCAATTTGAAGAGAAAGTGAAATAAGAGTAACATTCTACAATATCAATGTTCTTTGTTTATAGATTCTTAAAGCCAAGGTCTTAAAATATATTCCAAGAATAATCTTCAATTTATAGTCTGACAGTCTAAGCGTAGAAGGCTTTGTCTACGTGTTTTGTGTATAACGTGTTAACGCTTAAAAATAATATATAAAAGTGAAATACACAGCGTACATATAAATATAAGGAATTTCATGGTCGTTCTAATTTTTATCTTCAATCCAATTAAATATACTTCGTTATATCTAGGACCCCTTGAATTATTTCTAATTAATATTGATTTAAGATAACATGACAATACAAAAAAAAACAACCTAAAATGTATATATATATATATACATATATATATTATGTATATTATATATGTAAATGTATATATATATATATATATATATATATAATAACTATGGGATAAATTGAATGTTCGATTGATACACAAAGTCAATGATCGTTTGACGCACACTAATGACGATTTCCCATCAATTTTGGGTTCCTCAGTTAAAAGAAAAAGTGTAATTAAATGATGAGAAATTAGAATCTTTAATGCACGCGCATCACTCATACACAAACACACACACACACACACATATGTATAATAATGCGAGTTACAGCTGACTCTACTTTACACAATCCAGATGTTCGCGAGATCGAGGCCACTAACCCAAAAATCAAAGGGGAGTAAAGAGCGCGAATCCTTTCGATTAACTCAATGATCTTTCATCGATTTCAGCCATCACAGCGACGGACCTGTTATGGGCCGCTTATTTTTGGCGTATCGCGAGTCATTCCCTGTTGCAAAATGCATGACACTTGTAGTATTCTGCGATGAACGAATGCATATTTATTTATCTTTGATTTGAAGAACACTATTTCTCGTCCTTGTTTTATATTATTTCTTCTCTTTTATCCACTTATATCTCCTTTTCACTATAATCAAACAAATGCTAAAACAAATTTCTTTTCTATAATGCCGTTATTAACGCGACTAGTTTGTACGCGAGATATTTTCTAGACGACTCTCTCTCTCTCTCTCTCTCTCTTTCACACTCTCTCTTTTTCTCTTTCTCGCTCACAAATCTCTCAATAACATCGCACAGCCATACTTTTTTCCTTTTAACTTTCGACTTTTTGGCTATCTTTGGAGGAATAGTAGAGGAAAGAAAATAGATGGGCTACTCTACTGTCATGACTGGATGCTATGGAAAAACTTTATATAGCTAATGCAGTTCCTCTATCGCCCGCCATTTTTCACGTTTCTATATTTCTATTGTCCTATTAACTTGTTGCTTTGTTTATGTTTTTATATATTTGCGATTTTTTAATTACAAGTAAATGTATTTGTAGTAACATTGTTTTCCAAAACTCTTCACAAATATTATTACTTTGTTCATTTTTTTCGTTAGAAATCATTGAGATAAATACTCATATTGAATTACGCGCGCAAAATAAATTCAATATGACGGATATTAGTAAATTCTGATCTGTTCAAAGTAAATGCCAGTGTATAGTATACGTATATATGTGTGTAATATATTTTTACTATACGTAACATGTAGTTGATATTTAACTTACATGAGATACCATTGATATATTAAACATTATTCATTGACTAAGTTGCAATTTTAAATGAAAATAAAAAAACTCATTAAGAACGACATTGATGGTGCATTTTTGATACTTGGATATAAGATAGTACATCTATATAAAACTTTGTTTATGTTCACGGTTTGATGTAGTACTATATTCCCGGTTCTGGAAAAGATTCGTGTTGAGAGAGATTTTCAAATATAATATTAATTTATACTATTAAAAATGGTAAATATACTTTTATTAAAATGATTTCTTTTATATTTCTATGTTCAATTAAAATGAAAGACAATTAATTTGTCAATTTGTTGAAAATTTTGTTGCTGTTAAAATTACAGATGACATTGCATATTTTCAGTAATTTATTGTAAAATAATATTTTATTATGTTGTGTACATTTTGTGTCTATTCACTTAAATAATATTTTTTAGATTGTTTAAAGATAGTTTGTTAATAAATACTTGTTCGTGTTGTTATCATATTATTTTATAAAGAGAATCAATGTGTTTGTTACTAGAGTATACTCGCATACAATGGTGGAGCAATAATTGCTATGAAAGGAAAAAATTGTGTGGCAATAGCTGCCGATCGTAGATTTGGTATTCAAGCGCAAACCATAACTTGTAACTTTCAAAAAATATATGAAATGGGTCCTCATTTATACGTAGGACTTCCTGGACTCAGTACTGATAGCCAAACGGTGATGGAGAGACTGCGTTTTCGCTTAAATTTATATGAACTTAAGGAAAATAGAAAGATTCATCCTAAAACTTTTGCTGCTATGATATCAAATCTGTTGTACGAAAGAAGGTTTGGGCCATATTTTATAGAACCAGTTGTCGCTGGTTTGGATCCTGTTACATTTGAACCATTTATTTGTAATATGGATCTGTTAGGTGATTTGAACATACCAGATGATTTTGTAGTAGGTGGAACATGTACAGAACAATTATATGGTATGTGTGAATCATTATACGAGCCCAATTTGGAAGCAGATGATCTTTTTGAAACAATTAGTCAAGCTTTAGTCAATGCATTTGACAGAGATGCAATATCTGGTTGGGGTGCCATTGTCCATATTATGTAAGTATTTAAAAATATATGGAGATAATTCTTTTCGATACTAAATAGATTTTATAATATTTATTTTTGTTATAGCGAAAAAGATAAAGTCACTACGAGAACCATTAAGACACGTATGGATTAAAATAGTTTTTTTTATCATTATTTTATGTTAAAATCAACCGAGAATTATTATAATTATTGTAATGGTTAAGCTAATACAAGCGATTGCAAGAAAAATAATTTCCAATAAACTGTCACTAAAATAAATATTATATCCTTTCCTTTTTATACTAATTCATGAGAAATCGAATAATGAAAAAGATAATTAAATCGTATCGAACGTCGATGTTATTTAACATTTACAATTTTAATTTTATTTCTTATTGCAACTGGTGGGAATTAATCGAAACATTAATATTTAAATTATTAAAATATAAGATTTTTTAAATCACTCATTATATAGGATTATTTATTGTCATATATAAGTGGGATTCTAATTTTACAATTTAACAAACAATACTTTAATATTAACATGTTATTCGTTACTGCGCATGTCACTCTCGAGCAAATGTGTTATGGTGCGTCACGTTTCGATTTTGCAACTCGAGAATTTGTTATTAAATGAAAGAATTTAATAAATATTATGGCTGCCAATATATTATGTACCGCAATTCGAAGACTAACTATTAATCCACGTGGTATGTATAACATCGACGATTCTATTTATTAATTATGAAAAGAGAAAATTAAATGGAGTAAAATGACCTAACCTTAAAGTTAATTAATCTTTGCCAGATTATTATTGAATAAGTATTTGTTACGCATAGTAATATTTTAAGTTAAAAAAATAATTACACGATATTGTACAAGTTTTTCTTTTTGTGAACTTTTAATGCTCGTAATAATCATCATTTCATCAATGATTCTACATAATTTAATCTTACTTATACAACTTACAAATTTTCTCTTTCATAAATAGAATGAATTTTGAAGAATTGGTTTTTTTTAGGTGTATTTCCTGCAAGACGTTATTTTAATTACGAAGCTATTTTAGACAAAGAACAAATTAATATTGTTTCATTGTCTCGTAACAATAATGGCGATATATTTAAAACTAATTTCAATTTTAACATCAAGTTTGCACCAAGAACGTTAAATATTGATTTTGAATTACCAGTGAATAATTATGTACATAAAAATATCATTGATAGACCTATTATTCGAATATCCAAAATAGAAAATCCAAATAGATATTTACCCATTTGGCGTGATTTACCAGTTTCAAATAAATCTATGGAATTGCCTACAATGGAGAATGTCATTGAGAAGCAAGCCGTAAGAATGATAATCATAAGACGAAAAAAAATGAAGAAACATCAGCGTAGGAAGCTTAGAAAGAAAATGCAATTTTATTGGAGAAAAATAAAACAAAAAAGAGAATTATTGAGGGAACGAGCTTTCCAGGCCGAGCAAATCGCACTCATAAAACAGGCAGAAAGTTTTGATGCTGCAAAATATGTCAATGAGAGATTAAGAGAACTCGATAAAGAGTTCGTACCAAGAACATTTAGAGGTGAAGTATTACCTCGAGAAGTAATTAAGAAATTTATTGAAGATATCAAACGTAAAAAAGAAAGCAGAAAGAATATACCTAAGTTGACTTTGTAAAAATTCATTTACATTATAAATAAATACTTGACTTAACTTCATTTTTCAAATGAAAATTTAATTCAATGATGCTTACCTTTACGTTTAAATACAAAGTATACAAGGATGTAGAATAAAGTATAACAAGAAATTTTATAGACAAATTTTTGTATTATTACTGTTTTGTAAAAAAAAAAAAGTTAAGTCGCTCGTCTTATTATTTCTTGAGGAGTAGTTTATATAAGCGACATGTAAATTAGAATTAAATATTTGATTTTATGTACAAAGATAACAAATTGAATGCTGTATATATGCTAAACGATAAATATCAAAGGATTTCTTATCTGTATCTCTATGTGAAAATAATTAATTATAGCTATATTAAAGAAATAAAATTTGTCCAAATCTGCCACGATCTTAAAGACTTTACGTTCGTATATGACGTTTTTAACCATTTAAGAATTATCTTTATTCCATGGTCACACATTAGTCGTTTATATACAAACATTATACTATAAAATAATACTATATAATATATAATAAATAGCACCTTTTCTTTAATTGTACACATATCGATAATATGCAGGAATATGTTTATTAGAAATAATAGTAAATGTCTTTCGAAGGCATCTCTTTTCTTTTTTTTTGTTTTTTCCTTAAATAGCACCTTTGAATAATTTTGTTTTACGTATATACAAAGATTTTCGATTTTATTGCGCTTATTATTGTATTAAAAATATTTCAAATTTATTTAAAGCATTATTTTTTGCATTTAAACCGTACAGATAAAGTTAACGATATCGATTCTAATAAATATATCAGCACCTGTTTTTATCAACGAATACATACAACATATAGATCTACAAAATTGATTATCCTATTTACAAATACACAATAAGAGTCATTTTGGTTAGATTTGTTTAAGTCTTTTGTATACTCCAATTGCTCCACGCGGTATTTTAAAAGCAATGCTTACTTTTTATTAATTTGTTTTTTGGTCAAAGTTATATGTACTGTTTTATAATAATAAATAACATCGGAAGTCGTTTTCTTTTCACATTATATTCGTTAGATTTTTTAATTTGCGTATGAAAAAAATTATATTTGCTTGCGAGTAATATACAAGTGCAATAAAATAATTTTATGCAGAGAATTATACAAATAAAACTAAAATAAATAAGATACATATATATACATGCGTACAGTATTAACGAATAAGACGGATGCTATTGATAAAGCTATTGAAATATTAAAAAGAAAAAAAATAGAGATATAGAAAATGAAATATATCGTACTATCTATTATAAAAGCTGTGAAATATTGTATTAGTTATTCTAATATATTTCTCAAAAAATCGATGAAAATCGAAAGAAATGGATCACAGTTCGAATACAAGGCACCTTGATACTAACAATAAGCAATAAGTCAACTCTTATTGTTAGTTGTATTAGCAACACGAGGATTTTTTTAAAAAATGAAAAAGTTAATAGTTCAAATAATTATTAGCACCGTACGCGATGTGCGATTATATTATAAGGACCTTCTTACATGCGTTAACGTTGTTTTTATAAAATGAAATTGATCAGCACCATTAAGGTAGAATCTGGCCCTTTTTAATTTCTAATACTTGTGGACTATTACGCATTCTTCCAGTGTACAAACTATTACTTCTTCCAGAGAAGTAGTCTTCTATCTCTTGAAGAGTTTTACCTTTGGTCTCAGGAAGACATATATAAAAATATATTGTACCGAATAATGATATACAACCGTAAAGAATAAAAGTGCCATGCCTCGTGAGTGCACTTGCAAAGAAGGGATACGTTTTTACAACTACGAAAATGAAACAATGAGCGGTCATTGTCGTTAAACCACCGATAATACCTCGAACTTGTACGGGATATACTTCTCCGATCATTATCCAAGGAATGACTAAGAATCCGAGGGTACATGTGACCGTGTAGGAAAATATGCAAAAAACTGGTATCCAGGTAGCAACAAATGGTAAATGATTAATTACCCAATATTCCTTTAACCACATATAACTACCTAATCCGATCATAGATAGACCACAACCCACAGAGGATACCATAGTAAGTGGCCTTCTACCGGAACGTCTACACGCGATGCAAGCAACTATTGTAGAAACTAATCTTACTATACCCAAAATGACCGCAGCCAAATACTTATTTATTGTTGTTCCGGAATCATTAAAAATTTCAACCGCATAAAATGTTATCACGTTCGTACCGGAAAATTGGTAAATCAAAAAATATAAAAATAGCAAAGCATATGGTTTAAGAGCATTAGGCTTGAGAAGTGCACTAACGATTTCACGGAATCCAGTTAATCGTTTGAGATTATTCTTATTGGAGAACTGTTCCAATGTTTCCATTTCTTGATCAATATTGTAGTTATTATCACGGAATTGTTGCAAAGCTTTTCTCGCTTTATCCGGCTTATTTCGAGATATTAGATAAGACGGAGTTTCCGGGAATATGAACATTAATATTAAAGCAGCAAGCGGAAGAATTCCGCTGATGGCCGCACAAATATTCCACGAGAGGAGACTTCCAAGAGCGTATTCTATCAGAACACCCGTACTAACACCAACGCTCGACATTGCTGTTAACATTCCTCTAAGATGTGGTTGAGTCACTTCACTAGCATAGACTCGAGCTGGTGCACCCACCATACCAGATCCAAGCCCAACAAAGAATCTTCCAGCATAGATCATGCGAATATCGGTTGCAGCTGCGATTAATATCCAACCAAGTAATGCTGGAATTTCAGTGATAATTAAGGATCTCTTTCTTCCAAACATATCCATCATGTATCCTGATGCTAAGCAACCGATTGGAGTACCAATGGACGACATGCTAGCTGAAAAGTTACAAAATATTGATTTTATTTTTCATTGAATTTTTCAACTTCTCAACATATTCCGTTTATTCAACTTATTTTCTAACACATTTTCGCACACATTTTCTATTATATTATATTAATTATTTACCTATCCAAGATTCTTCCGACGATCCTTGAACAATTGGAATTGTACTATTAGCTTCTTGGAGTTGAGGAAGTGCTATGGCCGAAAAGCCAAAGGTCATTCCGGTGTTAATTGTTCCTAGTTGAGCGACCAATGCTGCTAAAACTTGCCTTACGGCACTACCTTTGTCAATGGGTCTCGCACTTTCTGGGTCATTGTTTGTACTATTTGCCGTTGAATTGATTTTCCCATCATCCATGGTTGATTGGGTTTTTGGTATTAATGCTGAGTCTACCAACGACGTCCTCTCAGCATCGTTTGAATTTGACATTTTTCTGCAAATATAATTATAAGTTAATATACATTTATTATTTATTTATTTTTTCTTCTTTTTTGTGTTTTTATTTTGTTACACATTCATTGTTCGAGCTTAGTTTCGAAGTTTGGCCCGTTTCGTGAACACTAAAATAAATTTCAGCCGAATTTGAGTTTCTCTTATATTATAAATTAATGCTCTTTGCCCGCGAAAACGAATAATGGTGAAATTTGGAAAAGGCATTATCATTGTATTTACATGAAATTGACCAATTGCCGAACAATTATTAATATGTCTAGTTCATTATTTTCGAGGATTCGACTTTCGTATACTTTCTTATGTCGTAGATCGTACTTTACATAAGTCCTCGCTAATATTTCATTAAATACGAGTAAAAGATACTACAAGTAAACGATACTATTTTCAATAAAAATTCACTCGTTTCTAACATACATACTGATACCATTACATGATGCAAATTAGCCTAATTGGAATGAATAGTATACGACTTGGAACAATTCGTTTACTCTAAAACGTCTTCTTTCATTTATTCAAGCAAATATAATCCATGGGAGTGAGTTTAAAAGGAAATTCAATAATGATAATTATTTAAGGAAAATGAACTCTTACTTGTCTCATTTTATTAGAGATAGTCGTGTGAAAGGCAGATTCGATGTCAATTGAGAAAGTTCCACGAGAAATTGATCGATTACAAATAAGAGAAAATGTGTGTGCATATGGGTGTAGCTAATCATCTGCAGATAATACTTTACTTTTGTTTTTTCCTTCTTTATATTATTTCTTTTGTAATAAAAATGAATCGATTTTTAAAACGAGAATAATGCGTTGATACGCGCTGCAAGCCTTTGATATTAATTTTATTTCTTTTTAATATTTTCTTTATCTATTATAGAGAGTGTAATAAATTAAACGCAGTCTTTTACCTTGCAAACATATAGATTGCATTACATGTAAGTTTATTAAACGATTAAATATTAAACGAAATCCTCTCGTATTATTTTAATCACCTCGCTAATGAAACTTCAATAAGAATTACTTTTTTGTCTTTTTTATTTTCATATTTGAACGCAAATCTAAGATTTCTTAGTGATTACTAAACTATTTCGTAAATGTTTATAATAATACATTGGGATATAAAAAGTTATAATATCATAATATATCTGTCATATTAATCGTCATTTTATTAGATTGAAAATAAGTTTCGCAACACGTTGAAAGTAGTATTAGCAATCACGTGGAAAATCGGCGATGAAAGGTGTAGTTGCTTTTATACTTACATTGCTTAACAAACATACATAAATTATAATATTAGAAATAAATATTCGAAGTAAATTGCAGAAAGTTAGGGTACAACATTTATATCGTATGACAATTACTATGTAATTAGTATTATCTTTTCTTTTTTTCTACAAGTTTTGGAGAAAAAATTGTATTGTTTTTTAATTCTTATAATTAAACGAAGCAATTTTCTACTTTTTATTTTTTTCATGACTCACATTCGTCACGCGATATCATTTCATGATTTTCCTTTTGTCTTTTTAGCTCTCTCTCTTTGTGATTTTTATTTTTCTTAAAGAAAAGAATATTTTCGATGCGCCTTTTAAACGTATTCAAAATAAATAATTGTTTGTAACGAAATCGAGATGATGTTTTGTTGTGATGATTGTCCCTCGTACTATCTTTTACGATTCTCCGATCGTTTTGTAATCGACAATGAATCGTGGTAAATAATTTCGAATACAAGTATTACAAGATCAATTTAGGAATCTAAAAACTCGTTAAAATTGACGACAAATCTACCTTCGTTCGTACATCGTTATCGTTATCGTTATTTTTATTGAACACGTCCACACTACCGTTTCTCCTCGATAAGTAAAGAAAAAAAAACTAAAGAAAATAGTTACCGAAGTTATAATTAAAATAGACTAGCTATTCATTAAACATTTTTTTTATCTATCAAGGATAACTCAAATGAAATAAAGATATTTTTGCAAAACGATATATCTTACAGCTTTGTTCACGTTTTAGTAAATGTTGCGTAAGTAAAGATACATAAATATATCTTTATATGGATATATGCTTAATTTTGTATATTCATAAGTGAAACATGCATATTTATCGTTTCGCGTCGTAACGTTCTTTAGTCACAATTTTTCCGCGGATAAACAAAACGCCTTGGAAAAGTTACATCGTTTCTTTTTTTCTTTCACATTCGCATTCGCAAAGGTTAACTACTAGAATCACGTGCGAATAATGAAGCAGGAGATCAGGGAATTCTGGCACGGTGTTGCGAGAATTATTTTTAAACTTCTTCTAAGAGTCGTTCATTGTCTACGCAATCGAAAATACGATTGTTCTTATATTTTTCAATCACCATTTTCATTTATTATCGCGTTATAATGGAGAACCAGCTAATTACATATTCGAAATGAAATTATTCTAAATATATTATTTCTAAATTCTCATACACAATTTCAATTAGTTTTTATTACTGACGATAACAGTTTCTAATGTGTGTGACGTGCGTGATGCGCGTATTCATTTATTCCGAAGGATATCCTATGAAATAATAATAATAGTAATAACAGGCTGACAGATTTGTGTGTGCGTTGATTTGTAAGTAAAAGTTACAAAGTGGGAAGTGTTTTTATATATATACGTTTTATATATATCAAACGTTTGATAATTATTAAGTATGATATTTTTGGTGGTTTTCAATAATGATCTAGCTGATCAGATGAGAGAAAGATAATCTTGAAAAAGTATTATTTTATTAAGTAGTATTGCTCGGCAAAGTTCAAATATATAGTAGGTTAGTTGTTCCTGGCTTGGTCATTCGTTAGTGACACTATTAGAGGACGCATATTAATAGATAAATTGCATCATGTACGGTAAATAGATATCAAATGGAAAGAGAAAAAAAAGAGACTCGAGGGAGAGAGAAAGAGAAAAAAACAAGTGTATCTTATCAGCTATCAACATTCTTCTTCTCTTTCTAAAATCCTTTTTTTTTTCTTTTTCGTTAGAATTTAAACATAAAATCGTCATCATCGAATACTAGAAAACTCGGTAATCTTAGGGAAGTTTCGATATTCTCCCGCGCTAAAATGTATATTAATAACTCGACTACTAATCAAGAGAAAAGGAATAATGATAAACAATCGTAAACTAAACGTAACCTTGGCGTAAAGCCAACGAGTTCGGCCAACGAGTTCGAGCAAAGACGTTGCCGCGCCGGGCAGTCTCGAAACTTCCGAAGTTCCTTGCTTCATTGCTTATTTCTTTTTTATTTTTATCAAGATTTATTTTAAGGATATATAGATTTGGAAAATCATATTTTATTTGATATTAAATGGATTTTATTGAGCTCGGAGCAAAAAATGTCTTATTTAATATTTTCATTTTTATTCGTCATTTGAACAATAACAAATGTATAATATCGATATTTTCGAGCGTCGTGCGCGTCTTTTTCTCGTGTTTACAAATTCAACTTGGAATCTAGCGTGCGAGTAAATACCACGTGCGAGCTAAGAGATATTCTTAGAGAGAGGGAGAGAACTAGCGAACGATAAAATGAAAAGGAAAAGAAAATATAAACCACTCACTCTGCCATGACGTTAATATTTCTTTTGCTTCTTCTTATTTTCGTTAAGACGATCACTTGTCACCTATTTTTCTCAACGAAGAGACAAAGAGTCGAACGAGGAACAGTATATGTAAATATGTACAAATTATCACCTCATATATATATATATATAAATAATATAAGTATGGTCGCGCGGGTAATATCACAGTTCGATGATCACGAAATTAATAAAATAACTTATACATGTGTATATATGTATATACATATGTGTGTAAATTACACTTCGAGAAGGCTGCGTTTTTCTTGCCTCTTCTTTCGTCCTCCTTCTCTTCTTTTTTATCTCGTTCGAAAAAAAATTAGCCACAAAAAAAGAAAGAAGAAAAGAAACTTTTTGTTCTATCTTTATATCCTTCAAAACGTATAATTTTCTTTTAGTCACTTATTATTTGTGTTTTTATTATCTTTCAAATAGTCTCGCGGTAACCGATCGTACGACCGATTTGATAAAAACCTTCGAGAGTTCTTTGCCATGAGCAGTTATTCATTTGCGTTTGATTATTTGTTTTCGTTTAAAAAAATTAAGAAAATATATAGAAAGAAGAAAGTACAAATAAATCCAACTCTCGATTGATTAATAAATATTTTCTTTATCGTTTTGTCTTCGTTCAATTTCACAAGAAAAAATCCACATGAAATGAAAAAATAATGCACAATGACGACGACGACGACGACGACAACAGTTATATACTTGGAATCTTTATACAAGGACTTGCGCGGAACGAATGCTTTCATGAAACCGAGTGTGAAAACATTTATACGCCGATGCGCCGATCTTTCTCTTTCTCTTTCTTTCTCTCTCTCTCTCTCTCTCTCTCTCTATCTCTCTCTCTATCTCTCTCTCTCTCTCTCTCTATCTCTCTCTCTATCTCTCTCTCTCTCTCTCTCTATCTCCCTCTTTCTCTTTTCGAATAAGTTGCGCGCGCACAACAGATCGCTAGTTCAAACTTTAACTCTGCGGGGGAAGGGAAGGGGTCTCGACAATATTCGTATGGATTATAATTATTATGGGGGTGATCGTGGATATACAAAGGATCGAACGTGTACTGGGAACACGTTATTCTCTCGTAATAGATTTAAAAAAAAAATAAAACAGAGAATTCGTCATTTGTTCAAACTCATCGACTCGGGTAATACGACAAAGCCTTACCGATTACTATGCACGATGCGAGATCTTTTTGTGTTTTCATTGTTTTCATTTTGTATATATAGTAAAATTTTTGACCTTATATCTATTAACGCAAATCGTTAACGACAAAAATGGTGTGATATTGGCGTTCTATTTTATTTTTTGTTTTTTTTCGAAAGATCGTATCGCTCTTTCTCACTTTGTTATGCAACGACGAACGTTTGAAGATAATGTATAGTCGATCATTTGAAATCATAGAAACCGTTCGTTTCTATAATAGAATTTTGTTTTGTTTCGAACATATCGTTATCGAAAAACAAGAACCGGATAAAAAATAATTGAAAATAAGACGAGATCGTTAAAGTCATGAGTGATTCGCAGACGCAGTCTGCTATCGCTCCAGATGATAAAGTCTAGTGACAAAAATGATCACTTAGGGGGAGTATATGTTTTATACGTTTTGACAATGTCAGGCGTGTGTTTGGTAATTGCCTACAAAAGTGTATTTAAACGTGGGAAGAATCAATCGTCCAAAGTAGTATCTCGATGTAATCATATGTAACGAGATATTTACATTTAAACATACATGCAAATACATATAACACGTGTTTAAGTATATATGTTACCGTCAAATCCGGATATCAGTCATTGCTAGTAATTCCTCGGCATTACTTCAGACGAAGTCGGAAATAAGACTTTTTGGAGAGTTTTTCCTAGGCATCGAACATAATACTTTGATATCCTATAGAATATCAAATTACTATTTAAACAACATTGAAAAGAATACATTCTCGGGACAGGCACACACAGCGCTACGCAACCATTTCAAAGAAATATCAGAGATTGCAATGCTGTAAATTGTACAACTTTGCTGTTTCTTTGAAAAGTTTCGTATACTTATAATACTTAAGTGGGTTGAAAAGTTTTAAGCCTGACGTAAAAATCAAGTTCTTTTTTATCCTTTAAATTAAGTAAAAAAGAATAAAAGTCGTTTTGTTGTCGAGGGTCAAAACTTTTCAACCCGCCCACGTAAATTATTCTAATCATATTACGATTTTAAATTTGTTACTCGTGTTTGCCAATTTAAAATAATTCATAATAAAAAGTACAAATTCTCGTGCGTTTCAGTTTAATCTGTCTTCAAATCGATAAGAAAGTTGCTAACTGGGTTTTATCGGTATACAAAAGGAATGAAATAATAATAATTTTCGGATGTGTTACATTTACGAACGATGAAAATTATTTCTTGCGTTCTCTCGTTTAAGCAATTTATTAGTATTTTATTATAATCAATTGCGAAGCAAATTTTTTACGAGTTCGCGAAATGAAATAAAAAGGAGAGAGAGGAAAAGAAATTGTTATCTTATCCGATAAAAAGGTTATTGGAGGTTGAGTGTTAGTTTCGTGAACTTTGTTTATAAAAGAAATCATCTTTTTCTTCTAACTTATTCAAAATATATTATTTTCAAATAAAGGATTTTATTAGAAACAATTATTTCACACACACACACACACAATTGGATATTAATTTAATGAAATATATATTATATTATTCATATAAATGGGAAGGAAAAGAGATAGTTTATATCTTTGATAAAAATAAAAAATAAATATCAATAAATTTTTGTTTCTTGGCCATTTATGTTTAACGAAATAAACAAACGGAAGTAGATCTAATCATCGAGGAGAGGAAGCAGGGTTCCCCCGGTTATCATCGAACTCGTGGATGACGAATTCACTATGTATATATCCTGCAAGAGAGAAGATAATCTCTCTCTCTTTCTCTTTATCTCCGAAATATGCTTAAGAATTTATGAAAAAAGTTTCATCGGACTTTTATGATTGTATGTAATTTTTTTTCGTTATTTTTTCAGGAGAAAAAGTTAATAACAATCGAATTAAATTTGTTCATTTCAACAATATATAGCATACGTTTAATTGTAAAAACACTAATTGTTACTTATATAGAAAATATTTAACTTTCAATACTTCATACGTTCAATTAATATGAGAGAGATATATATTTAAGATAAATTATAATATAATATTTTTGTCTTTCAAATAAATTTGCTAATTGTTAAACGTGTGTATAATAATAAATAATTTTGACTTAAAACAAAAAATTAATTCGCAATAATAATAATCGACGCGTAAATATATCTTTGAACTTGCTTTCAAAAGTAAAATATTTGTATATACTTGTATTTGATAAAAGAGTACACCTGTCTTATCTTATATGTTTCTATTATCGAACACAATGTTATAAAGTATTATAAATTAGACAAGAATTTTATTTTGAATTTACTTACGATTTGAGAAAAGGATTCTCCTCGGCGTTGTCGATGTTGGTGAATGTTTCGTAATTCTTGTTCCTGGACATGTCGACGAAGGACTGATCACGTTTATGTCCAGTTACTGCCGATTAAATTGTACTCGGTGTTTTATCGAGCCTGCCGTCACGAGTTTTCTCCTATCAGTCTCGTAGTCATGCGCTTCTTACGTATGACGTACTATTTTGTTTTCTTTAATTTCCCTTATATTTTCTCTCTCTCTCTCTCTTTCTCTCTCTGTGTCTCTCCTTTCCTCTGTTTAATACGTACGCGTTATAACATTACTTCTTCCAACTATTTTCATCCAAATGTACATGCGTATCTCTAATTATTTGATCAGCTTGTTCGTTCTCTTTATCGATCGTTTACATCCTTAGATAAATCCTATTTCGTTTTTTTTTCTCTCTTTTTTCTCTTCTTCTTTGAATTTTAGTTTGAAACGTGAAAATATAATTATTTCATTTCTTCGACAATTTCTACTAACCGCAAATGAGTAGAACCGACAACTGTACTAGAGTTTATTCTTAATAAGATTCCCGAGGAAGATCGTTTAATATTAAAAGTCCTTATATGATAATCTTGTTTGATTATTTACACGTTATTCGAATGTACTGTGGATGACAAGTCTTTGTTTATTCATCTCATTATTCTCTCTCTCTCTCTTTCTTTCTTTTTTTTTTGCTCTTCCTATTTATTATTCTCTCTCTTCTCTTACTCTATCATCTCCTTTGTTCAGCGCATATTGATGTTCTCCAAAGAAATAAATTTACAAATAAAAGTCGATCCAAATTTCGTTGGTAATAATCAAATATTCAATCTTTTACCAAGCATGCAATCTGGATTTTCTGATCTTTAACGTACAATCAATTTTAAAGTTCATAACATGGTTCGATGCGTTATCGTTATCAATTATTTTCAAAGATTTTATGATCTAATGTAAGGGGGGAACGAGTTTATCATCGTAAAAGAAAGTTTCCGTGACAATGCATTGTGATTTATATTACAAATAATTCCATTTATCCTTGTAACCGAACTCAGAGTTAAATGATTTCAAGAAATGTTCTTTGAAAACAAAATAAAGGATAAAATCAATTTACGTAAATACATACGAATGTATTTAACATCGTTTCGATCTTTCTTACGTATTGACATTAAATATAAACGATTCGCATTGATTTATTAATTAAACAACCGGGACACGAGTTATTGTATAATTATGTAAATCTTTTATTTGTGGCCTTGCGTTTGGAAAAATTCCATCTCGACTTTTTATTCATTCTATTTCTTTTCCTTTCTCTATTTTTTTATTTCTTCTCAAATTACCGATTTATTTAATCGTCGTTAACGATACATTTTTGCGTGTTTTCTTTTCATTGCAATTTCTCGTCTCGCGTTTCATTTACAATTGATAAAGGCTTGAAGATTATTTGATAATAAAAACACGAGGGAAAATAATGTTTCAGTTTGTTTAGTCGATTCAAGACCGTAGTAGTAACGTGATGAACTGACGATGACGATGAATTAATCGAGAAATTGATTAAATTTATTAACACACTGCAATGAATTCATTCTCTTATGCTGACTCATCATGGGTCGTGTTAGGTACGACATTGTTAATATATTTTTCTTTTACAGTATTATTTTAACTGATTCGCAATCGTCTCTGCTATTCACAATGGAAGACAAAATTGAAGTTTCCTTTCAAAACTGTATACCGAAAGAAAGGGGATGATTTCTTATTGTTCGCAGATATCTTAGAACATTTATATAAATGGTCAACGGTACATCTGGAAACATAATTTACTTGAATAGAGTGACCATACTATGTAAGATTTAAAAGGAGAAAGCTGGAAAACCCATGTCAATTTCTCATAAAAGAATCCTTTGGCTATTGTAAGCTAGAAACATTCCTGAATGTTCTTTCACGATTAAAAGATATAACAATAGAATAATCTATTTTAGAAAATTTAATTTCCATTTTCTAACAAATGGCCATAACATTCTTTGGATAGATTCTTTAAGATGAGGGATCGGAGACCCTTTTTTTTTTTAATAGTGCTTTAGGTAGTGCTGTAAAATGCATTCCACAAATAGTTATTCCATCAACTACACATTCTGTGACATATACAATATATTTCTTATAGTTTTAACACATACACATACCCAGATATATTTTGTTAGAAATATATTAATATATATTAAATATATAATTGTTAGTTAGAAAATATCGTAATAGTTGTCGCCAAGCTGACTGGTTTGACTCATTTTATTATTATTT